GTTTTCCTCTTTGGTGAACCTCCTAACACCTCTTAATAGCCCCAAGATGACCAACTTAAGCAGGTAGAATGGTGCCAGTATACAATCAGGGTTCAATAAATGCTTTTTCTACTGTTGTCTCCCAGGAAAGCATGGCTGAGAAATCTGATTTGAAACCCACTCTTCAAGGCAAGTATACATACATCCTTGCTGTAGCTGAGTTGGGGCTGGGCTGGGTGGAGAGACCAGGGCAGAAAAACTGGGACAACTGTAATAGCATAAACAACAAACTATGGTTTACAAAAGTTGTTGGACCCCCAATGAAACCAGAAGAGCCCTCCAGTCCCATGAGCCACTGGGTGTCCAATGTCCCCAGGCCATGGCCTCCCCTACTGCCTGCCACAGGGGGTGAGAACATGGAGCGGTCACCGACCTCAGGAATGACAGCTCAGTCCTCACACCTAGATTTGGAGCAAGCCTGGCAAACAACGGCTGCCCCGAAAGCCTCAACGACCACCTAGTGAATGGGGCCGTGTTTCTGGGCAGGAGTTTGTGCCAATGTGGAGAAAACCAGAATTTCACAAGGGAGATGGCAGTAGAAACAGAGGGGCCTGGATTGTCCTACACTAGAACCAATTCCAGAAAACTCGCCAAGCTCCTGAGCAGACCTCTTGGGCCACAGCACTGCACTGGTTCCATCCGTGGGTCTCCCATTGATTAGGGGCCCATTTCCTTGGTCCTTCCTCACCTTTCAGAAGGGTCGAGCCACCCTCTTTTTCATGGCAACCCTCCCACAAAGTGGGGTGTCTGGTGTTCACTTTTTATGCAGTAATGCCCCGTTTCCAAGGGAAACTTTACACACAGCTCCAGCACAGAGACAGACCCCTCCAGCTAGAGAGGGCGGCCCAAGGGCTGCCCATCGGACGTTGCGGCCTTTAACTCTCAGGGGCGCCCACTTCCCACCTCCTCCCCCGCCTACCCAACAAGAAACTGCCAGGTGGTTCTCTTCAAATGTTGTCTTTTTAATGACTTCAATACCAGTGCCAGGACTCACAATTTAAACAGCCTCATTTCTTTATTCTGTGCAGTTTCCTGCCTTGACGGAAGGTAAAACCCGGTCTCGTGAATAAATAACGTCCTAAGTAACACTGCAAGTCCATACGAGGCCTAGTTTTCTCAGAGGGTAGAATATCCAGGGACCTGCTGTGGTGTCCGGAGGCCTCCGTGTACCTGCCACTGGACAAGGCTGCAGGAGAGGAGTGGGATGAGGATGCTGCTGTCCTGGATGTGACCTTTCTTCTGAGCCTCTGTCCCCTTCCACCATTCACTGCTGCCCAAGCAGGCCAAGAACTGCCCCTCCTGTCAGGGGACACGCTGTACAACCGAAGACAAATCTCCCTGCAGCAGGTTCTCTTACACAGGTACTTCATACCCTGAGTTGTGGGAAGCCAAGATTTTATATTGCTTCAGCTCTCAGCATTCACTGCCTCGTCCAACTGATATGCAGCGTTAATGCTGCACTTAAGATTTCCTGGCAAAGACCGGGCTTCGAGCCTTGAGCAGTGGGAAGAGTGTCTGGAGCCACTCAGGGCGGTTATGCCCATGATAACACTGTACACTTGTACATATCTGTGGGGCTGAACCGGCCTGCAGCTCTGACTCAGAATCTATAAAAACCAAGCCCCAAGCTAACCTTGCTATTTCTTAGTGGGAAGCTCACATCAAGCTCAGCTTCTTGGGCACTTAGCCCGATCCTATTTAGAAAATACTTCAATGAGGATGGGAAATACAGGAGGCCCAAGAAAAAGGCGAATGAGTGAAGTTTTAAGAAATGTATAGCCACCTGTGTTCTAGGAACCGATACCATGGTTTTCTACCTCCTTCACCAAATTCTTCACACAATGAAGCTCGATCCTGGTGGCGGCAGCCACCTCAGGCATAACAAAAACCCTTGGCGCACAAAATTAACTTAGCAAGTTTTAAAAGAAAATGTTAAATTCTTAAGGAAAAAAAATGGCAGCAAAACCTCAGAACTCCTGTGCAATGCCTGTAGTCTGCCCACCTGCTAAATAAAGAGAACACCAAACCAGCCCAAAGCTATGCAAATGGCAGGCTGCCCTGGCAGGCCAACTGTGGCAACTCCGGGAGGGAGCAGGGGCAACCATGCTGGAAGAAGTGAGAGGCGGTCTTGCTTCTTGAATCCTCCAACTTCCCACCTTGGGAGCCCCCAATCCTAACACTGCATTTTGTGGCTAGGTTCATCCAGCCATGTTAAGGGCCGAAGAAAAACAGACCTAATTCTTAGTTTCTTCCTGTTTCTAGCAGGGGAGGAAGGCAATGGCTTCAATCCCTCTGCCTCTCAGTAAGAAGGCAAAATCTTCTGAGACCCAGGCAGATGGGATGTTGGAAGATTGTGCATCTTCTCCCAATTAAGGATGGGTGCGCATACTCCTGAGAAAGACAATTCTCTGAGCACACAATCCTGAAGGCTTCTAGCACCAACAACTAACTCCTATCCCCGCTCTGCAGAAGTGCAGGGCTGTGGAGGTGGGAGAGCCCTTGGCCACCTGAAGTGCTCACCAAGAGTGGGCGAGCACTGGTGTGGGCTACACCTCTCCGGGTTTTCCCCTCAGAACCCTGTCAGTGCAGCTCGATGAATGCCTCCAGCTCCTCGGGGATGAAGCCCTTGTAGGGGATTTTATTCTTGTCTAGGGCACGGGCTGCAAGGCACTGCAGGGTTATGTAGTTGAAGGGCTGAATGGTGCTCTTAGCCAGCAGCTTCTCATCCAGCAGCTCGTAGGCCGTTTTCTTGAAGGCATTGGTGGCATCCATATGGGCCCCTGCTTCTATCAGGGTATTCATGATACCAGGGCAATTATTGTGGGCTGCTATGTGCAGTGGCGTGTTGTTGTCAAAGTCCCGACTGTCTGGGTCAGCCCCGCAGTCAAGCAGCACCTTGACCACCTGCAGGGAGGGGAATCTGCCCACTGGGTATCGGCCTACATTCGTGGTGTCCTTGTCCACGGCCATGTGCAAAGGGGTGAAGCCATTCTTGCCCCGGGGGGCACACTTCAGCAGCCGGTAGATGGTCTGGTGCTTCAGATGTTCCTGGTCTGGTGTGCAATCCACTTTCTCCAACAGATAGAGCAGGTGGAGGATGATGGCCAGGGTCTTAGTGAACTGGACTGAGTCTCCAGGCTCCTTGGGCAGTTGCAGGGCTCGTTCCACTTCCCGGACCCCTTTACAGAGCACCCCCATGAGGTCTGCAAAGCCGATTTGTGTGCCCTGGCTGCCCTTGGCTGTGCGGTCCTGAAGCACATAAGAAAAGAGTTCAGCAAAGGAGAGAAAGCTGCTGGCGGTCATGGGGCTCAGAGGCTCCAGGTTATTCTGTTGCATGTCTAGGGCATATTTCCACAAGCGGATACAGCGCTCGAAATCGCCCGAGTCTGCGTATACAGCGCCTCTGTAACGGATATAATAGGAAGTGTCTGGGTGAGAGGGACCAAGGATGCGCTCTCGGATCAACAGGGCCTGCATGCGCATCTCATCTGGGTCGGTTATAAGTGCTTCCAACTCCTCAGCAGTGTTTACCTCCCTGGAATAGTCATAGGCCAAGACCAGCTGCGAGGGCTCTGGTTTGGGCAGATATGCGCCCCCCTGGTGACGTAACTCCATAGCCCGTCTCCAGTGTTTCAAGGCCCCAAGCAGATCACGCTTCTTATCCACGTACGTGGCTCCCAGCAATTCCAAGGCTTCCACAGCAGCTTCCCGGCTGGTGGGGCAGCAGCTCTCGTAAGATTCACTGCTAAGTGGTTCCTCTGGGGAGGAACTGCAACAGCTGGCCCCCTGGGGCATCACGCATCCTGGACTGGTAGAGGAGCCTTTTTGGGCAAGCTCTGGCTGCACTTCCTTCCCAGCAGGCTGCTCCTGGATAAGGTACTCCACGATGTTGGTGTGGCCAGTTACGCTGGCCGCCAGCAACGGGGTCATGCCATAGCCATCACGTTCCATGCGGGCATTGCACCCGAGCAGCAGCTGCAGGATCTCCAGGCTGCCGGACTCCGCGCAGTCGTGCAGGGCCGTGTTACCCTTGGCGCTGCGCCGGTTCACCTGGGCGCCCTGCTCCAGCAGGTAGCGGGCTATCTCACGGTGGCCCTTGTAACAGGAAATCATAAGGCATGTGTGTCCATGCCGGTTGGCCACCTCCAGGTCGGCTTGGTGCTCACCCACCAGGTAGCGCACTACTTCCAGGTGTCCATCAAAGCAAGCTGCACGCAAGGGCGTGGAGTTGGTGCGCGTCGTGCGGTTCACTGAGGCCCCGCGGCGCAGCAGGCTCTGCACCACGTCCAGGTGGCCAGCGGCCGAGGCGGCCCAGAGAGGAGGCGCGCCCTCGATGGTCTCGCCATCGAAGTGCACCGAGCCGCCCGCCTCCACGCTCGCGCCGCACCGGTCCACTAGGTACTCGACCACGTCCAGATGGCCATAGCGGGCGGCAATGAGCAGCGGCGTCCCCTCTCCGGCCACCTCGCCTGTCAGCTCATCCAGCTCCTCCTGGGTCCGGCCGCTGAGCAGCTTTTGAAGCAGCTGAAGCTTGCCGTCCCGGGCGGCGTTGTACACGGCGGTGCGGAGGTCCATGGTTCGGGCTTCCTCCAGGCCATTGGCCGACCGCCGGGACACCGGGAGACGACGGGCTACAGCCGGGAGGGGCAGGGTGCAACCTTCACCGTCTCCCCCGCCGCCATCTTAAAGGCTTCCTGGGCGAGACAAAATGGTTGCCGCTGCCTGACGGCGTTAGCTAAGGGGAGCGCGTAGAAAAATGTAGTCCCTTGAGCCTGCCTGCTCTATAGGATATAGAAGGAACTATGAGGTTTGAGAACTGTATTTCCCAGAAGTCTGCGGACCAGCCTCAGCGAACTGGTAGCACAGTGCATGGTGGGAATTGTCGTTCCACTTGCTGCCGATTGCAGCGGAAACTGAACAGAGGACTACAATTCCCGAGATGCAATGCCATCGCAATAGCTTTGGGCCCAAAGAAAGTTTTGTGGCGGCTTCAGTGCTAGTGCTGAGAGGAAACGCAAGCGAGAGCCAAAGACTACATTCCCCAAAAGGTACTGGGAGCAATTTGGCGCCAATTATGTAGAGTGAATGCTAGCTAAGCTGGCCAAACGATCTGACACAGGCTTCTGACAGGGGGCGCTCGGGAGAGGAAGGAAAGTCGACAGGGCCAGGATGTTAGGGATGCAGGGAAGTACAGTTGGTCCTAAGGGTCAGTCTCTTGCATTCATTTCTCATCCATTCATTCTTTTCATTCACTCACCCATTAATACTATATCAACTGAAGACGGTTGCCACCAAGTTAGTGCCACTAGAAATCCTTGGGGTGGGATAAAGGAGGGGGGCTAGTGAAAGCAGTTCAATTGTGATACAGCTTGGGCGTGAAACGATTGGGCTGTGAGGCAGCTTAGGTGTGAGACAGCTCAGTCCAAATTGCTCCAATGAGGGTCTCTTGCTGCTCCAGTGCTGGTGTTACGGCCCCTGCTGAGGAAATTCAGTCTTGTAGGGAAATAGAGGGCACTCCGATGAAACTGGTGAAACTGGCTTATATAAGGAAGAGTCTAGGTTCATGACCCTGATTGGTCCATTTCTATGCAAATGAAGGCTCCAAATCCTCAGTTTGTTTGGCTCCTGACACTCCTACCTTGAGAGGTGAGGACTATGTCCCTGCTCCTTGAATGTTGGTGGACTTGTGGCTACTTTCGTTAAGTAGGTTAGATAGTAAACCAAGGCAGCAAGGAGAAGGGAGACATGTCTCACCCACTAACTCAGCAGTCCTGAGTCTGATCCAGTAATATCACCAGGTGTTCCATCACAGGAAACACCATGCTAACACCTTGAAATTCTGTGTATCATTTCCACTACCTGGGAAAGAAAGCCTTTGAAACTATTTATTCACCCAAGGTCTAGAAGGTGGAAGAGGAGGGCGTTCACAGTGCCCAAAGAAAAAACCCATAAAACAGCTTTGGTGAATTGCCTACCTCTGGTCACTGTTTTACGAGGGAGTCCCTAGTCCTTAGAGAAACAGCCCATAAATGACTTTGGGTAACTGCCCCAACTTTAATTAACTGCCTCCTGTCCTGTCTCTGGGGATGGAACAAATGTGGTCTGGAACAAGATAAGGATTCAGGCCAATATACACCCACACATACCTTTGTTTTGGTAGCCATGTACCCCCACCCCCACCCCCACCCCAGGAAAGCTGGCACCACCTTTACTGTCAATCAAAATGTAACTACTTCACCCCCATCCCACCAACTATGTAAGCCCTCAGGACAAAGGACCTAGTGCTCTTGCCACCCATGTTTTTTGCCACCCAAGCTCTGGCCTTTCACCCCCACCTTGGCAAGGCCCATTCTCTTCCACAAGAACTTACCACTAATAAACCCTGTGTACGTGCTAATAGACTCTCTGATCTCTAATTCTTTATTGTGTCAGCAAGAAGAACTGAGTTTCTCTCATAACACTTGGCCCAGTGGTGCTGGGATTTCTGAGTTTAGGGTACAAAAGATCACCAGATTCCCCTGTTCTCCCTGTCTTTAAGGGTCCCAAAGGAGTTTTTTAATTCAATCAGAGTATAGGAATTTTTTTTCAATTTTGGTACTAATCAGAAATACTCAATATCAATTCTGTGTAATCCACTGTTCTCTTGAGATGCCCACTCTGGGGAAATCAACCACCATAAAAGAAGTTAAGGCCATCATGCTGGACAGACCACATGTAGACCCTCTTGTCTACTGTCCCAGCTGAGCCCAGCCTTCCGGCCATCCCCTCTGGGGTCCCCTGCGTGAATGGAACCATTTTGGACCTTCCAGACACGTCATCCACCAGCTGACACCACACACAGGTAACAAAAGAAGCTCCCTGCTCCACTCTCAAGCTAAACACTGCCCAAATTCCTGACTTACAGCAACCATGACATATAAGAAATTGATTGTTTTAAGCCTGTACGTTTTGGAATAGTTTCTGATGCAACAATAGTAACTGGAATTGTGTTAAATGTAGCTTGTGGCTTCATTTTGCCTATCTATAATTACTAACCAAATCACACAGTTCCCCAAGAGTTTGTTTACTACGTGTGTTTCCTCCCTGGGGAACAGCCTGTTCATTGGGAAAATATGCCATGGTTTAGTTTCTAAGAAACCCTAGACTCAATGTGGTCTTGAGGGACTACATAAATCTGTGCCGTTTAGCTCAGCCTGAGGTATTGGCATGTCTTTGTTTCATTTGTTCAGCCATTTTTATTGATACTCTGAGCACCTACTTTGTTTTGGGTCATGTGCTACAAGCTGGGGATGTATCAGTGAGCAGGCAGACACTGTTCTCAAGAGCCCAGAATCTGATTAAGAACGACTGCCTAAATCAGGCTGGGGGCTCAGGGGTGTAGGAGCCCAGAGGACGAATAGATCGTACCTGCCTGGGAGGGTAGGAGGGAGTTGGGAGATGTTTCATTGACAGACAGGGAATGTTTCAGGTAGTTATTGAAAGAAGCAGTGTTCTGTGTTATTCTAGTTGTCTGTTTTGGCTTAACAAATTACCCCAAGCTTACTGACTGCTGTGGACCAAATTGTGTCCAGAATTTACATGTTGAAGCCCTAAACCGCAACGTGACTGTGCTTGTGGACAGAGTATTTAGGAGGTGCTGTGCAGCCTTGAAAGTCACTCGGTCATTTCCACCCCTTGTCGTTTTCTGGGAGAAGCTCACTAAGTCTGACCCACTTCAAGGGGAGAGAGTCAGGTGCCATTCTTTCAAGGGGAGGGAATTAGATGTAGGAATTATGTGAATAAGTTTGGAGATATGTTTTAAAACCACGTAGAGCAAAGATCCGGGGGACAGACCACAGGGCAGGCATGGCGCATTCGGTACGTCATTGAATCACTCACTCCGCGCCTACAAGAGAGCGTTGCAGGGGAATTCTTTGCCAACGATGAGGGGACACTTCATTCTCTTTAAAAGTTCCGAAATCAATTATACAATTGGTTCTTTTTTATAATGTACTGAATGAGACAGTCAGAGGTAAACACATCTATCAAAGGACATTTCATCAAAGTCTTCTTGATTTTTTCCTTCAAGATAAGACATTGCTGAGTAGCAAACATTGTCCACACTACTTTCTTAGCTCACTGTGGTGAAGTGTCTTTTTTTGATAGGAGAAGTTTGGCTTGTGAAGATACCCGTGCACACCTGAAGTGAGAGGGGGAGTGAGAAAGGAGAGCCATGTGGGGGCATTTTAGTCACTGCTTCTCCAGCAGTGACGACTGACATGAGTGGCATTCGATATACTTTTTCTTTCTCATCGAGGGCCTTAAGGGGTGACCTTTGCTCATCTCTAACAGAAATGTCCTTCAGTTACAGGAGTCTGTGGTTCCCTGTGACAATGAGCAAGAGAAAATCTTTTCTTTGAGTCTGAAATTTTAAAAATTGGCCCTGGCCATTGTAGCTCAGTGGACTCAGCATGGGCCTGCAAACCGAAGGGTCACGGATTTGATTCCCAGTCAGGGCACATGCCTGGTCCCCAGTAGGGGGTGCGGGAGAGGCAACCACACCTGATGTTTCTCTCCCTCTCTTTCTCCCTCCCTTCCTCTCTCTCTAAAAATAAATAAAATAAAATCTTTAAAAAACATTGAAGTAAAGTTAGCCATATTAACCTAAACAACTCAGTGCCTTTAGTACATTCACAGTGTTGAACCAGCATCACCTCTATTGAGGTCCAAGACACAGGGTGGGCAGAAGCTGGTTCACAGTTGTGAGTCTGCAAAGCAGTTTATTCTTGTATTGTTATCCATTAATTATTGTGCTATTTTCCATACAAAACACTGTGAACCTACTTTTGCACACTCCTGCATTTTTCACCCCAAAAGGAAACCCTAGTCCCATGAGCAGTCACTCCCAGCTATATAATGTATATTTATTATATAGCACATATGCATATAAATGTAATACACTAATATATAGGGTATATAACATTTATACTATATAATAGTATATAACATTTATAACAGAAGATAATGTACTACAGATGTTACATATGTGTAAAATATGTAAAATAATATACAATGTATAAAATATAAATTCATTTGACATGTAAAATAAGATGTAATGCACATATATGCACACAACATATAGGTAATGTTTTCCGAATAATTTGAGGAAGCAATTTGGAGTCCTGACAACCTTTACTCTTAAGTACTTCAGTGGGCATTTCCTGAGAACGAGGTTGTCCTCTCACAGACCCACAGTTCAGTGATCCAAATCGGGAGCTGTAACCCTGATAAGCCCCATCATCTGATCAGCCCCACCCCCCAGACTCCAGCGCTTTCCGTTGTCCCAATAGTGTCCTTTGCAGCTGCTCTCCATGGCAGTGAGAAACACTCGCCTTCCGTGCTTTTCTTCCCTTGACCACTGGTTGGTTTATCACTGAGTCTGGGCCAGGTGGGATGAAACAAGGATGAAATTTTCTCCAATAATTGCCTCCCCTGCTTTCTGTCAAGTCTCCCTTCTCTACCCTGAGGAGCACATTCTGTAACCTGACTGGTCACTGCCAGTTAAAAAGTCTTGACCTGTCCAGTCCTCTTAACAATTTCCATCTCTGTTTTAAAAAATATATTTTATCGATTATGCCATTACAGTTGTTCTATTTCCCCCCTTCATTCCCCTTCACCCTGCACACCCCCTCCCCCACCATTCCCCCCTTTAGTTTATGACCACATGTCTCAAGTTATTTAGATTCTATATTTTCCATACTATTCTTGCCCTCCCCCTATCTATTTTCTACCTACCATCTATGCTACTTATTTTCTGTACCTTCTCCCTCCTTCTCCTTCTCCCACTCCCCTGTTGCTAACCCTCCATGTGATCTTCATTTCTATGGTTCTGCTCCTGATCTAGCTGTCCTCTTAGTTTGCTTTTGTTTTAGGTGTGGTTCTTAATAACTGAGTTTGCTGTCCTTTCACTATTCATCTTTTTTATCTTCTTTTTCTTAGATAAGTCCCTTTAACATTTCACATAATACGGGCTTGGTGATGATGAACTCCTTGAATTTGATCTTATCTGAGAAGCACTTTATCTGCCCTTCCATTCTAAATGAAAGCTTTGCTGTCTAGAGCAATCTTGGTTGTAGGTCTTTGGATTTCATGACTTGCCATACTTCTTTCCAGCCCCTTCTTGCCTGTAAGGTCTCTTTTGAGAAATCCACTTACAGTCTGATGGGAACTCCTTTGTAGGTGACTGTCCCCTTATTTCTTGCTGCTTCTAGAATTCTCTCCTTCATTTTAATCTTGGCTAATGTAATTATGATGTGCCTTGGTGTGTTCCTTCTTGGGTCTAACTTCTTTGGGACTCTCTGAGCTTCCTGGATTTCCTGGAAGTCTATTTCCTTTGCCAGATTGGGGAAATTCTCCTTTATTATTTATTCAATAAGTTTTCCACTGGTGGCTGTTCCTTTTCCCCTTCTGGTACCCCTATAATTCAGATGTTGGAACGTTTAAAGATGTCCTGAAGGTTCCTAAGCCTCTCCTCATTTTTTTTGAATTTTTGTTTCCTCATCCTTTTCTGCTTGGTCATTTTTTTTCTTCTTTCTGGTCCACTCCTTTGATTTGAGTCCCAGTTTCCTTTCCATTACTATTGGTTTCCTGCGTGTTTCCCTTCATTTCAGTTAGTTTAGCCTTCATATGTTCCTCTAATTCGTGGCTAAAATCAACCAGTTCTGTGAGCATCCAGATCACCAGTGTTTTGAACTGTGCATCTGAAAGTTTGGCTATTTCTTCATCTCTTAGATTTATCGGCTCTGGGGCCCTGAGTTGTTCTTGAGCCGTGTTTTGATCTGTTCGTGCCTGTTATACATGAGGAGCAGAGCCTTAGATGTTCACCAGGGCCGGGCCACCCAGGTCGCTGGTTTATGACGCTGTATGTGGGGGCGGGTTAGAGAGGGACAATGGCGGTCCCCTCTGCCGCTTCCCGCCACTGGGGCCTGCAGGGTCTAACCACTCGCTCCTTCACCGGTTTATCTGCGCACAAATGTGTGACCGTGGTCAGCCCTCAGTGAGTCCACTGCCTTGTGCCCTCAGTGGGTCCTCCCGCTACTCCACACCTGGGATCCACCTACGTCTGCCGGCGTGCCTGGGTCGTGCGCCCTGGTCAGTCCGGTGGATCTTTCCTGCCCAACCCCGCTCTGCTGCTGGCTGTGCCTCTCTTACCGGTTTGGCTGAAGGGTTCGTTGTTGTCAGACTTCCGTATAGTTCAATTTTCTGTGGTTTGGCTGCATTTTTGTTGCTAGAACTTTTTTTTAAATTTATTTATCTTTAAAGGGGAAGGGAAGGAGAGAGGCAGAGAAACATCAATGTATGGTTGCCTTTCGTGCATCCCCTTCTGGGAACTGGCCTGCGGGGAACCAGCCTGCAACCCAGGCATGTGCCCTGACTGGGAATGGAACCGCAATTGTGTGGTTCGCAGGCCCGCGAGCAATCCACTGAGCTACACCAGCCAGGGCTAAAATTTTGTTGTTTTTATACTTGGTTGTGCAAGAAGGCACAGTGCTTCCACCTACGCCTCCATCTTGGCGGAAGTCTACAATTTCCATCTCAAAGCTTTCTTCAAACCCTTGGCTGATCGGCAGTGTTCCTGGGAAAACTTGGGGTGATATGGAGGCCCCTGGAACCCTTCTCTGTGCCCAGTCCCTTCTGCCTCACTTTGCACATGTGGCCAGTGTGTTCTGTTTCTGTCCATCCCTCCATCACTCAGCTGGGGCAGGGCCAGGGAGAGGGGTGTCTAAGTGCATCAGCAGGTGTGGGCTCTGACCACCCATGCAGGTGCTCTCTCTGGATCCAGGAAGGCAGGCATGGAAGAGA